TACACTGAATGTGAACATGAAGTGTGATAGATGCACTTAGTGAACAAGTATGATGGATATACTAAAAGCGAACACAAAGTGTGATGGATGCACTTAGTGAACAAAGTATGATTGATATACTAAAAGCGAACACAAAGTGTGATAGATGCACTATGTGAACAGAGTGTGAATGATACACTAAAAGCGAACACAAAGTGTGATAGATGCACTATGTGAACAGAGTGTAATTGATATACTAAATGTGAACACGAAGTGTGATAGATGCACTTAGTGAATAGAGTATGATTCATATACTGAAAATGAACACAAAGTGTGATAGATGCACTTAGTGAACATTTTTTATGATTGATATACTGAAAATAAACACAAAGTTTATATTCATGGATCCGCTTGAACTGTAAGTCAAAGAGGCTATTTGGGTCAATGCTTACACCTGTCACTTGAAATATGAACTGAGCTAATCGCTGCTTGTCAGCCATCTTGGCTGATTCTCACTCAGCTTTGAAGTCTGCATCGTCAGCAAACAATTGGAGAAGAAGGTTCAGTAGTGACATTTATAACCATACAGAAAAATTCACCGACAGATGATTTTTAATATGATCTAAAAATCATCTCTAGTACATACTTTCTAAAGATCTACAAGTAGGTCAAGGTTGGTCACCCATTGATCATTTTTTAACCGTTTGGTGATGATGTGGCTGAGTTCAGGGCTACAAAATCAAAGCCATCTGCGAATCCCGAAAAGTCTCCAAAACGCCTCGGCTCTCCAGGTTTTCTCTACCAGTGCGGCCAATATAATCGGAAACATTCCCGAATTCTTTGGCGGGTTTGTGAATCTGGGTTCCTTGCATTTGGCATTCAACAATCTCGAGGGTGGATTATCGGGAAGCTTTTCGGGTTCGTCGATTCAGTCTCTGTGGTTGAATGGGCAACGGGGTATTAGTTCTAAGCTCAATGGCTCAATTGGGGTGATACAGAACATGACCCAATTGAACCAAGTGTGGTTACATTCCAATTCTTTTTCAGGTCCTTTACCGGAACTTTCAGGGCTAACTGGGTTGCAGAATTTCAGTGTTAGGGACAATCGGATCACAAGTTTAGTACCCGTGTCTCTTGTGAACCTTCCATTGCTTAAAGTTGTGAATTTGACAAACAATCTGTTACAAGGCCCGACCCCAAAATTTCATTCTTTGGTTGCAGTTGATATGACAATTGGGACTAATAGTTTCTGCTTATCTGATCCTGGTGTTGGTTGCGATTCCCGGGTTAATACATTGCTTACGATTGCACAATCTGTTGGTTATCCAACGGTGTTTGCGGATAATTGGAAAGGGAATGATCCTTGTGTCCAGTGGATAAGTCTCACTTGTTCTAATGGAGACATTACTGTTGTCAATTTTCAGAAAATGGGTCTTAGTGGTATGATTTCTCCCAATTTTTCATCAATTACTTCGTTGCAGAGACTAATACTTGCTAATAACAATCTTACGGGTACTATCCCTAATGAGCTCACAACTTTGCCTAACCTAAGAGAATTAGATGTTTCGAACAACCGGCTTTATGGGAACATTCCATCTTTTCAGAGTAATGTACTTGTAAAAACTGACGGGAATCTTGATATTGGGAAGGATAGTGTTAGTCCATTGCCGGGTACGCCCTCAGTTAGTGGAACAAAGACTTCGGGAAGTAGTGGCAATAAGTCGACTGGTGTGGTTGTGGGTTTGGTAATTAGTTGTATTTGTGCAGTATTGGCTGTTGGGGTTAGTGTGTTCTGCATTTGTAGGGCTAAACAAAAGCATTCTTGTATGGTG